CTTTTTGATATCGAAATTCATTATATCTACCATCCTCTCAATAATAGTAATCTTTTCGCCCTGTGTTTCAAAGTACTATCCTAATATCACCTCCCTCAAAGCATCTATTGACTGCGGCAGACGACAACAGCTGCCGCAGTCCTGTCTCCTCCCTAGAGATTGGGTGGCCAAAAAAAATAACGGGCGAAATTGGTTTGCCACAAAGAAAACAAGAACATTGGCTCAGAAAGCCACGAGATCAGAACACCTCAACAAAAGTGATCGCTTCTTGAATGCCTTCCAAGGGGAAGGAAGGACCAAAAGGTGGGCTGAGTAGGACAAAATGAGAGAAACGGTATCAACCCCATCCATCCTTTCGGGCAGACAGACCAAGAGGCAGCATGAAGCATGATATCTGAAAGAAAAAGATTCGAAAGTCCGAGCAAACAGGCAGCCTTATCTCCCCCAAAAAGCATCCAAAACCTTTATGCAACTAGAGGGTAGACTACGAAAGGAACGTGGACAAAAAAACGAAGCGGAGACCAAAAATGAAACTGGGGGCAACCGAGGATTGAACTCGGGATCTCTTGTACCCAAAACAAGCATGTTGCCACTTCACCATTGCCCCAATAATTGAGTGAGTGACAGATGATCGCTCAGCAACATCAAATGTTATATGCTTCGAAGATCTTTTTAGATTTGGTTTCATGGCAACGAAGAAAGCCGCGAGACCAAGTTTGTGTTCCGGCGAGAAAAGGCATGTTGCAGACGATCAGATGTGGAGGATCCCGAGATGACGTGGCAATTGGTGCCTTCTTGTGTGATGCCATGACGTTTTTGATGAATGATGGTATAGTACATTTCATCATTTTTGGGATATGTATTGATTAATTCAATGTACAGTTGATCGGATTGATCATCCATCCGATGGAAATGGTCTTTTCCAATGGGTATGGGGATTGACAGTGCTTCGTGGAGATTTTGAAAGATCTGTCAAGTATTGATTTCTCAGAAGACTCGGTCGACTAGACGTCTCCAAGTGCGTTTTGAAGTGGGGGCATTTGCCGATGACGTTCTTTAATGCCATCCATCCGCTACTCACTCTAGCGACCGAGTCTTCTGAGAAATCAATACTTGACAGATCTTTCAAAATCTCCACGAAGCGAACATCATTGCCACGAACAGAATGTCTTCCCAGGTCAGTTGTCAACCTAACGAAATGAATGTTGATTAATTCGTAAATATGTAATATTGAACTTTACGTACATTAGGGAATACAGCACCGTAACTGCAACAGAACGATTTGTATCGTAATTAACGCATTCCTTTAATCGCTGATACATCGCAGCAGTTGGTGGTCAGGTTTCCAGTCACCAGGCGAACTCAAGTTCATGGGAGATTCAAGGTCAAAGAAGTACGGGGATAGGCCCATGTTGCAGCAATTGTTTCGAAGAATCACCAGACCAGCCTTTATATATCTTATTTAC